TAAGGGGTGGTTATATTTGGGAGCTGGAAGGGACATCCTTGATGGGTTAATAAGCTCCTTTTTGTCCCTATAAAATGTTATAAAATTTATGAAATGTTGAACAAAAAAGGCAAAGATTTCTGTACAGAGCTCAAAAGAGTTTTTGAACCTAGATATTAATTGTAGGTTTTTGTTATAAGCTATCTAGGTTTTTTTTACGATTCTAAAAATTTTGTAAGTTTAAGAATTAGTTTTAACTTTTGTAAGCCTTGTGCTTTTTGTGAACTGTTGAAAACCGTTTTTGGAAATATCGAAAAGTTTTGGAGCAGTTGACATTGGAACAATGAACGTTTTGTAACCGTACATCTACACTGAACCTGTAACTTTGAATTTACAAACTGAAGCTGAATTCGACATACTACGTTTTGGTCCATAATAATTTGGAGTTGAATGCCTGGACCATGTTTATCACCTCCTTTAAATATTGGACTAATATTAGCCAATTTACAATCTTCTAATACTCTTCCACTGCTCAATGACTGACATATAAAAATATTAGCTAGTGGTTCACAAATTAGACAATTATGTTCCTTAAAAACTATAGGATAAAAGTTGTCTGGTCCAGGGGATTTATCAATTTTGAGGTTTCCCAACTTTTCTCTTACAATTTCAGAACTTAAAATGATATATTTTACATTAATATTTTCCCATACATTAAGTGCTCTGGTTGAGGATAATACTTGTATCTTCTTTCGTAAAAACTGAAGAGAACATATAATTTGATAAGTTTACTATCTCACAGTCTTCTGAAATAAGCTCCATACTCCATCTCTATCCTAACATTTTTTCTTACCAATCATATATCTAAAGAATTCCTTATTGTTTGATTTAGTTGTTTCATCCAACCCTCTTTCATATACAGTTTTTGCCCTTTTAACTTCCTCTTTAACAAGCTCGCTTGATTTCCTATAGCCCTCTAAGTTCTTATTATTTCCAGTAAGTTTAAATTAATTGAATTTATTATGTTTTATCCCTAATATGATCTCTTAAATCTTTATAAACCATACTGACTTATTCTGCTCCATTGCCCTTTTTTTCTGTAGGGAATATGTATGTTCTGTATGCATATCAATTTTTCCCTAAATGCTTCCCACATATGTTCAAGATCCCCTCCCAACTCTTTAGTCCAATGTATAGAAGCCAGATCATGTCTCATTCCATCAAAATTGGCTTTTCTAAAATTTGAAATCAGGGTATTATTATTCTTCAATTCTACACGTAGTGAAATAAAATCCCACACCTAGTAGTGCAATGGTCATTTGTACTTAAATGCTCACAACCACAACTCTGTCTATCATGTTCACTTCGGATGCTGATATTAAATATAATATAACTACTCTCTTGTAGGTTTCATCACCAGTTGGTGTATAAAAGTATCCTGAACAATTTCCAAAAACGTATACCTCTCAGACTCAAATTTTCCTAATCATTAACTCTGAGAGTAAAATCTCCCACAATAACAAAATATTTTTCAGCTACCATTCTGAACTCATTATACAATTTCTCATTAAATTCTACATTCTGACCTGTTGGTCTATAAAAATCTGAATTACAAGACTTTTCCTTTTATAGTCACTAACAAAAATCCAAACTGACTCAACCTCAGTGTTAATTTCTTTAATATGCTTTAACTCAACAGGATGCAAATCACTCCTCACATTTAAAGCTACTCTTCCCCATCTTTCAATACTATATCTCTAATAAATAATCTGTAGCCTGGTCTTTCAAAATCCTCAGTTTCCACAACTGCTTTAAATTCATCAATTTTATTTCTACTACTTCTAGCAACACACTAGTAACAATTAATTATAGATTTTAAAACACGTCTATGTTTTTACCTGTTGTACATGTTTTCCTTTCAACTATATTTCCCATTTTACTAATATCCTAGTCCTGGCCTCTGTGTAGCCCTAGTTTAAATCTACCAGTACAGCTGAGTTAATGGCCCTTGTTAACATGCTAGCCCCTGCCTTGTTTAAGTGTAAGCCATCCATTCCAAAAAGATTAACTTTCCCATTAAAATTATCCCACAAATCCAAATAGCCTATTTGCTCATCCCTACATAATGATCTAAGTCTGGCAATGAATCCTAGTGACATACTTAGTATCTCATCCCCACAATATAATCATGACAATATCCCTGACAAAATCAAGCTTTGACTCCTTTCCTTAAATGCCCTTTTCAATGTTTTATACTTATCAATAAGCTCCTCAGATCCATCTTTCCTTACATCATTAGCTCCAACATGTACCACAAAAATTGCATTGCTACTAGCACCCTTATATATCTCTTTGGTTCTATCAGTTATATCCTGTACCCCTACTCCTGGATAGCATAAGCATATTCTTTTGCTCTTATTTACTCCACATACTAGTGTATCTACATATCTAACTAGAGGGTCACCTACAACTATAATTTTCCTATCCTTTACACTATCATCCCTTGTGATCACATCTGATTTCTTTACCTGCTCCCCCTCGTCACTAGCAAGTGCTTCGAACCGATTGCTTAGTCCGAACCCTAAATGCATCATGTTAAATTTTCTCACGGCTCTATCAACAACTCGCATAGTTTAAACTAGAAGATAAGTATAACTCTTTACTGAACAGAGACAGTAAAAAGAAGAAACAACTAAACGATTTGGAACCACTACCTGAATCTTATGTTAACTAATTAAGAAATAGAAAAATAATTAACAAATATAATATTACATTACACAATAAATAGATTGGTGAATTTAACAAGGGGTGGGATTTGCTTGTAAGCCCAAAAAGTTTCGAAAAGAAGATTTCATTGCAGAAGTGGAAACAGGTCTGAACAAAATTAAGGATATTGGTGAAGCGAATATCATTATAGCTGAACGTAAAGAGTTAATCAGTTTGGAGAAAAATGAAGTTCAGATCTTAAAGTCATTAAATAATTTGGATATTGTAATGTGTATAGCTGATAAAGGTGGTCAAATAGTTAACCAAAATAAAGAGGACTATACTAAGAATGTTGAACAGTTACTAAACGATGGTATATATGAAAAGGTTAAAACCAACCCCCTTAACAGGCATCATGGTTGGTTCCAAGTAGTTGTGTAATTCCAAGATTTTATGCTTTACCAAAAGTTCACAAAATAGGAAATTCGTATATACCCACAGTTTCAAATATAGGTTCATCTTTTTATAATGCTGCTAAATTTTTAGCATGTAAGTATTCTTTCTTGAGTGATGAAAATAATTATACCAATAAAAATTAAAAAGGTAAATAAAAATAGTAATGATATGCTTGTATCTCTTGATATGGTATCACTATTCACGAAAGTACCTATTAATACAGCTAACAGTTGTTATGAAGACAAATTATGTGGAAACAATATACCAGTCATTTAAATTTTATACACGATAGACTTGACAATGACTGTTGAAAACTCTTATTTTCAATTTAACAATAAGATCTATATACAGACTAGAGTCCCAACTATGGGTTCTCTATTGTCTCCTTTGTTCTGTGATCTTTTATGGATAGGTTTGAAATTGATAATTTACAGAATGCCAAACTTAAACAGGAAGTATAGATTAGACATGTCGGTGACACGCTCATGGTGTGGCGGTATGGTAAAGAGAACTTGTTAGAGTTCGCTAATTACGTACATAGCCTCGAACCCTCTATTCAATTTGCTCACGAAGTTGAAAAAACAGAAACAAGAATAAATTAGAAATTACAGTCTATTGTAAACCTTTTTCTGTTATCAAGCCACCACACCAAAAATCATGTCATCCAAAGTCGCAAAACATGTCATTTTTACTTTTATGTTTACAGGTCCATAAAAATATGTTCTAATTCAGCATATTTACAAATGAACTGTTAATTACTAACATGTAGCATTAAATAGAAGTTTCTCGCCTCATATTGTTGATAGAGCCTTTACAAAGTAAAGAGTGAAAGTTATCTTTAACATCTAATGCATCATAAACTGAAAATTCTCTGGAATAGGTGTTTATGAAATAGAATGCTAAAGCTCCTCTTAACATATAATACTGTTACATATCTGCTCGTATGTTAATTTCCGGTATAAATTATTTCCGAGGAACTTCACCGATACAAGTCCTTTCTTAATCAAAACTATTTTATTCTTTCTTCATACAACGTTTAGTACACAGAATTTCCACAATCACTTTAAACTTAACAACCTTTATAACACACGCTATAAGGCACACAGTGATTCACACACATTACTTAAGGTGCTTACTGTTCGCTTGACTCATTTATCTATCTCTTCAATCTATTTGCATATCTATCTATCGCTGGCTTTATTTGCCGGGTTTATATACTAAAAAAGAGAGCGCCTGGCAAACACTCGGACATTCGCGGTGTTCCTCGATAAGTCATGATCCTTCTAGAAACTCCAGTGTGCATGCTCCCAGAGTCGCGTGACTTCTGCTGTCGTAACACTGCCCCTTCCTTAGTATTGTTCGTCCCGAACAATAGCCACTTACATTAAACCAATATATAATTAACAGTGACTTAGTTAAATGTACAGAATATACAAGCACAAAATTAAAATACAATTAAGTCTCTTAATTTTACAGGACGTATCTTCTTCCGTACTGGTCTATGTCTCATTGGCTTCTGCTTCACGTGTGGTTCATCTGCGCCATCAGGAAATTTCCCATTATCAGTAGCAGTCATATCAGTGGTAGTAACTTCATTAACAGCTTCACTGTTTTCCT